AGGCAACTAGTTTAGTAATTAATGCGGAGGTAGATTCCAGATTTTGCAGCAAATCATGGTATGATAATGGCTTGCACGTTGAGGTATATTCTATGGATGCTTAGGTTTAAGCATTGTTTTTCAAAATCTTGTTCTTTATAATAAAATATCTTTATTCTAAACTAGGTCAATAACATTAAAAAAGTTGTTATGGTAATTATTATATCCTGTCCTAAATTTCTATCTCGATATTATACAGTAAATCGCCATTTATACTGTATTTTAATTACAGAATGAGATAATCTCTGCTCATTCATATTCACTTAATGATGAGCAACATCCATTCGTTCTCCCAAAATACATTAGCAATCTTAAAAAATGTGAGTGCGAAGGTGAATTAATATAATTTTTTTTTTAATTTGATAGTTGTTTAATTTATTATTTCATGTTTTTAATAGTAAACTTGCCAGCTTGGGGATTCACACAAAGACTTGTAGATGTATTTTGTGGTAATGAAAATGAGCAAATATTTCATGCATATGCATGTCCATGTCTTTTATCATATACAACTAATATCTGTTTTATTTGTATGCAATCGATATTTGTTTTAATAGATGATATCGTTCCACGCTTTGCCTACAGAAAAATAAAATTATTCTTGCTATTAAGGTATGTAAGTTCATTAATTTACAAAGTTTTAGTAAAATGCGAATTTAAATTATTGATGAATTTATATAAAATCAAGTCTAGTTTCACTTTCCGAAAAACAGTCAAAAAAGCACTGCATCTCCCCAAGCATCCATATCATGATTATCAGCGATGGATACAATTCAATTATTCCTAAAATGATAAGACATGTATCAAAGTTGAAAAGGTTTTTGTCGGATAAATTGTTACTTAAGAATATGCGTATAATACTGATTTAAGATAACAGTATAATTAAAAAAAAAAAATCACAAAATTCATTTATTCGGCTTTTTAATATAGGCACGAGGAATGGACATATGGCAACGGCCAAAAGAAACAACCACTTTTTATTATTCAGAATGGGCAAGGTCCTACGAAGGAAAATTTTATTGAGTGTAAGCGGCTCTATTTAAAGTGTTTATATTTATTAACTTTTCACTCATTGTTAAGCTTTTTTTATTAACTTAGCTACTATCCTTGCAAGGTCACAAGGCGGTATCCTCATGGTCAATTTGGACTCTTTGAGTAAAAGAGATGTAGAGTCACTGCGACTTGGTAAATGTATATGCACGTAATTCATATAAATACACAAACTTTATATATTAATATAATTCTAGTCATGAGCAAAAGTTCAAATTTATCGACACAAAATCGCTACCACAAGTTAAGTATCGATGTGAATACTTGTTGCTGGGGATGGTCTATATCGAGACCTACCGGCAAAGGTATCAACCTCAGGTCGGCAGACGGTGAAGGAATTGAGGTGGGTATCAAATGGCTATAAATGACCTATATTTGATAACTTATTTTATATAATTTTATATAATATATATATTTAGTCTATCTGTAATGACCCGATTAAGCCAATAATTGAGTTAGTATATAGAATTATTAAATTTTGTTTTTGATTTGAACGTTATTAAATCACGACCATTCCATTTTAAACTGTAGTACGTTTGATCTTGTTGTATACCTTAAAGAATGTGTTGATTCTGAAGCCAATGGTTTGTTAGTGGACCATTTACTTGATAAAAAGATTTTAGAGTCTGAAAATGATAAATTCAAAAAAGAACAATTCGGCTTATCCTTTAATGATTTCCGTCAGGTAAATATAAATAAATTAATTATCTTATGTATTCTGCGGTTTATTTTAATATTAAGTAATCAATAAATCAATAGTTTATC